AGACATACCTTGGGCCTCCTGCCTCTGCCCTTCTTCATGGGTTAACTTGTGTGGAATGTCCTCCCAGCCTTTTTGAGTTGCTGTCTCTGTTCTGGAGGCTATCTTGCCTCCACCCTGAGACAGAGTTACATACTGCCCTCCCACCCCCACCCCGCGCTCCTTTCAGTGTGAACCTGGTCCCCTCTGGAATCAGGATGCCTTCACCTTCGTGGGTCTTCATCCTGGATCATCTGTTCAACAAAGTATGAAAAACTGTGTTCCAAAAAAGACTTTCATTAACTTGGTTTTTTTTCCCTGCTGTTCCTAGAGAAAACATCTCCATGAAAACAATGAGGCATTCTGTGTGTTGGGGGACATTTTACTCTTAATTGGGGCCTAGGAGTGATTTTCCATACAGAATACTGATTAATAACGAAGAGGAAAATACTTGGCCTGGCATGTGAACTTGGTGCTTTTGGTATGGGAGCTCCCACAGGGTGACACCTGGGACCAGCTTTGGCATGGGTGTGAGATGATTTGACTTCCTTGCTTTTTGCAGAGGGACTTTTCAGAGACCAAAGATCTTCCCTAACTGCTGCAGGACAGAAATGCCCTCTTTGTGGCCCTAGCATTCTGCAGACATTAGGCGATTGTGATGAATAGTTACAATGCCAGGCACTGTGTTACCTTATGGACACAGGACTATGACAAAATGAGCATCGTGTGTGATAGTGTCATGTGTGCTGCACTTGAGGGGTGCTGGCAGTTCCACTTGTCATCTGTGAGAACCAGTGCCAGCTTCAGCTTTGTCGTTCCCCAGGTCCAAGCCTAATTAATTAATTCCACCAAACTTTTCAAGTTTGGTGGGGTAAGAGTATATAACATGGAGGTTTTCAGAGCTACTGCTGCTTTTCTGACTACATTCTCCACGAGTCCTATGCATATGTAGAGATACTTTCTCTGGGTGAGGAAGCCAAGGGGGAACAAAAAACGACTTTATCTCCCAAACCCAAACACATTTTTGCTGGGAAATGTAGGTGGAGCATGGAGAGGAGAGGCAGCTGGGTGTTGTGGAATGCAGTCTTCCTCTCTGGAGGAGGAGCTTCAGGAGTCCTTGCAGAGAAGAAATAACACGATGTCATCCTTTGTAGTGAAGTCAGAATCAGTGACAGCACTTTGTGAGTGTCTGGCAGGACTTGTTTATACAAGCATTTGTGGGAATAAGACTGAAAAACCTACTGGGTCATGGCTGAGTCAGACACAGGTACTGTGTCACCCTAAGGAAGTGCTGCTTCAAAAACTGTCCCAAGTCATTAGTCATCGTGGTTTTGCCTAAAGATTTTCTCATAATACTTACATTAGAAGGTACTGTATTGTAGGTAGGACACAGTTTTCTCCCCCTACCCCTACTCTCACACTCTCACTCTCACTTTCACTCTTTCTTTTGAGTTGGAGGTCTCACTCTGTCGCCCAGGCTGGAGTTATTTAGTCATGAGGGTATCTCTTTTGGGAGAAAGGAGTTATTATTTATTTTAAATGAAGCCAGTTGTAGGCAGTTTCAGTAAAAATTGTTAGGAGCTGATTTGTTATGTCTAACTTAAGTTTTGAATTGAAAGATTTTTATATTAGACCTTTTTTCGTACATCTGTGACTGTAATTAGTAGCATCTGCATTGCAGGTAAATAATGTTATCTATTGTAAATACAAGGAAACAAAAGAAAAGAGATCAGAACTCTTAGGGCCTGGAGTGTGCAGCCATGGAAGAATCCTGTGCTCTTTGAACAGGGTAGAATTCCTGACATTCAGGAAAAGTTACTAAAGACCAGAAATCTCCATAAGAAAAGACCAGCTCCAGGATGCCAGGAACTGCCTTGGAATCCCTGGGCCCTCAGAAGTTCATAACTTGCTTCCTTGTCCACACCCTTGTTTTCACCACCTTTCCCACCCTGCCTGGATGCCCTTATTTGGTTCAGAAAGGAATAAAAATGATCAGTCAGCTACATTACCACTTAGTCTTTCTAGCACCGCCATGCAGATAGTATGGGGAGATCATTCCAGCTCTAACACTTAGCAGTTACCTGACCACACAGATCCTTCCCTTCGTCTCCTGTTCATCCCCAAGGGGTGGCCTGGAACCAGAGCCCTTCCTTTGTGCAGAAACATGGAGGGGCGGGAATTTACTCCAGATCCCTAGGCCCCTACACAGCTACCTGCATGACCCTTGGCCTCCTGCTCAGGGCACACCAACACCTCTCCACGTGGAATCATTATATTTTGCTATCTGTGACTGAGTGTGCAGTCTCAGGTGGTGGAAACTTACAACCTGTCTACTCTGACATTGAGATAAAATTGTCTAGACTTTTGAAACAGTTGTTGACTGAATGAACTCCTTCATCTTTTTTTTTTTTTTGAGTCAGAGTCTCACCCAGGTTGGAGTGCAGTGGCATGATTACAGCTCACCGCAGCCTCGACCTCATGGGCTTGGGTGATCCTCCCACCTCAGCCTCCCTAGTAGCTGGGACTACAGGAATGTGTTACCATGCCCAGCTAATTTTTTGATTTTTTTTGTGGAGATGCATTCTTGCTATGTTGATCCATGCTGGTCTCCAATTCCCAGGCTCCAGTCATCCTTCCACCTCGGCTTCCCAAAGTACTGAGATTATAGGCGTGAGCCATCATACCTAGCCTGCTTCATGCTTTTGGTAGGAGTGGACTTTTAATCTTGTTTATGGTGTCGGGACTTGCAAGGAATAATTGCTTTATTCATAAGAATTCAGTTGTTCTCAGATCTAGGCGAAGGTTTTTTTTCTTTATTTTATTTTATTTTTTTTGAGTTGGAGTCTCACTCTGTTGCCCAGACTGGAG